AAGGTTGGAGCAGGAAAATCATTAGGGAGATATATATTAGTCAGTGTATATGGTATCTCATTCAATTTACAACAAACTATAACATATCTACCTTCCTTATCTTTAATTTGATGTATTATATCCACTTTTAATGTGTGGGAAAAACTATTGCTACTCCTCTTTTTTTTTTTCCACTTAATGAAGCATGTATCACTGTGGGGAATTTTAGACCACCCCAACTTTGGTTATCCATATCTGTCCAATGGGTTTCTTGAAAGAAGCCCACTTCCACTTTATTTCTTAACATATAATCGTAAATTAGAGATTTTTTAATTGGAGAATTTAGTCCCTGGACATTAACCGAAATCATCTTTACCATTTTAAATTAAAAAACATTATTACCACTGACCCCAAGAGAGCTGCAATGCATTTACATAAAACACAAATGGTCCATTGTACATAGACCCACAAAAGCCTTATGGGAAAAACACCCAGTCTGGCCCAACACAGCCTGGCTCCTGAGTGGTTATCTCTCGACTCACCACTCAAGGGCCATCTGTGTCCTCGTGAGATGGTATCTTTGATTACTATATCACGGTATTTGTGTCAACAGAAAAAGATGACACTTGGTGGGGCAATATAGTAGCAGAGTGACCGAAAATCGTATTCCTTATTATTAAGAACACCCTATTATCTCATATGGTTACTTGAGAAGAGAAAGAAAAAAAATAAATTACTTTTTTACATCCTGAATCCCTTGATAATTATGGATATATGATCATTAACAATTTATATAATTCCCTATTGTATTTAAAAAATCCATCCAATTGTTTTAAGGAAGCCTTCCATGCTTCTTATACAAATTGCTATTACATCCTAACACATTATGAATTTCCAAACAGTGTATACAAGTCTATCCCTTTACTGTGTTAAATCCAACCGTATATCCTAAATCCAATAGTGATTATTTTTATATAATCATTAACAATTTATCTATTTCCCACTGTGTATACAAGATCGATCCATTTATTGTATTAAATCCTTCCGTGCTTCTTATTCAAATTACCAATACATCCTAACACTTTATAAATTTCTCATTCTGTGTATAAAAAATCCATCCCTTTGCTGTGTTAAATCCAACCATACATCTTATTCGTATACTATTACTAAATCCTAACATTTTATAAATTTACCCACTATGTGTACTTAATTTATCCCTATATAGTATTAACTCTTGCCATACTTCATAAGCGTGTACTGATAAACCCGACTTTCTCTTATATTAACGCTTATTCTTTAACTTTAACTTTTGATTATCTCCAACTCTTGCGTTATATCTATCAATTCTTACAAGCCCACCCACACCCTAACTTAATATCATGAGAGAAAAAAAATAAAAAAATATAATTATGATTGTCCTTTATCGTCCAAACAGCTACAGATCATCTTCGGTTATTGGTTATTATCCATAGTTATGTAGCACCCGCTATTGATTGTTCTTCCATCCATTTTCTCAAGGCATCCAGAGTTGTAAATTTTTCATTTTTTTCTCTCCAAAAAATCCTGAGGCATTTGGGAAATCCCCATATGTATTTCACTTCTTTAGATCTTAGTATGGATAGTTCCTGACTAAAACTTTTCCGCCATACTCTTGTATGGAAAGATAGGTCAGGGAAAATCTTCAGGTTCTTAAATCTCTCTTCCGTGACCGGATTGTTTCTCACAGAGCTCATTATTTGATTTTTAATATAGAAGGATTGAAATTTAACAATTACATCTCTTGGTAATGATTATGCCACATTTCTAGGTCTAGGTAACCTGTGGTATCTTTCTAATTCAGACTCTTGTAGACCAGCTTGAGATAGTACTGATTCAAAGTATTCCATTAGAAATTTTTTCAGTGTTGAATCATTAATTTGTTCAGGAATATTACGAATTCTTCTGTTGGTTCTCCTGGAACGATCTTCCAAGTCGTTTAATTTATCCTCTAATAGTTCTACCTTGGATTGCAGATCTGTCATTAATGACTCTATATGTACATTTTTTAAATCTGTTTGCATCATCTTAGACTCTATAGATTCCAATTGGACTTTCATACTTCTTATTTCTTGTTTTAAATCCAGTGATCCTTTTTGGATATCTTCTTTAATATTCTCCTGAAATTTATCCAGGTAATTAATTAGAGTCTCTTCAGTAAGAGGTTTACCTGCCTGTGCAACATGAGAGGGATTAGAGTTGGATTTGGGGGGAGGGGAATTTTCCTGATTTTCAGAGTTTAATTGGAATTTATTTGGGGGAGGGGAGAAATATCCTGATAACCTTTTGTCAGTGATGTTGTCTTTTTTTTCTCTTTTTTTCCTTTCCTCCTGTGGCTTTCTGGTTGCCATTTTATTTTCTATAAAGATTTTTCTTTTTTTTCAGCCCTTTTTCTCTATTTTTTTCTTTTATTTTTTTTCCTCTATTTCTTCTCCTTCTTTCTTCTCTTTTCCCCCTTCATTTTTTGTTTTCTTTCTTCTTTTCACTTTTCTCCCCTTTTTCTTTTTCTCCCCTTTCCTCTTTTTTTTTTTTTCTTTTGCCTTTTTACTTCTTTTAACTTCGCCTTTCCCTTTTTTTAGGAAACTTTTTTTTAGGAAACAGAACTCTGTGACATTATTCTCAGTATTTATAATCAGTTTTTTGGGGATTAACCCCTCCACTTTCTCCTTTCTCCTAATACTTTATAAAATGATATTTCTCTATTTTCTGTTTTCTGCCCTCCTCACCACCCTTCTCTCTTTCACCCTCTCGCTTCCATTATTGCTCTCGTGGTATTAATGGTATTAATGTAGCAGACTTATCTTTTCAGCCGCTATATAGAGTTTTCTCTCCTCGCCAGATCCCCAATGCGTCTCTGCCCGGGAGCTCCGGATGCCACACAATTCTCAACGGACTGAAGAGAGAACCCAGCGGTCGTCACAAATGTCCTCCTCTCGATCGCTCCCTCGAACCGCCAAAAAACCCCGCCGGCCGCCCTTCCACCATATCGCCCCTCCTCTCACGTAGACGCACACCCGCCTACATCATCAGGAATGGGCTATAAAATGTATTTATTAATTTTTTTTATTAACAGTTTAGGCAGTCCCCCTGCAGGCAGCACTATGGACGCAGAGTGATCACATGGCCCACGGGGGCTTAATTTGCCAAGAGGGGCTGTCTGGGCTGTCAGGCAGTCCCACCAGACCGGGAGCAACACCGATCACCAGTGGAGGAACGGCGGTGATCGGGTAAGTAATATATTTGCCTTAATGACTGTTTTTGTAGGAGGTACCTAGTACGTCCGCAGTCCTTAAGAAGTTAATTCTCTCTGCCATCGCCTCCAAATTTCTCTGCTACCTCTTGTCCCATCTCCCCAATTTACCCTTTAGATTGTAAGCTCATGGGCTATCTAGCAAAGTATTCTGTATAAAATATTTTCATTGGCTAGATCTCGGCTCACAGAGATTGTATTGGTCTGTTTATATTGTACAGTCTTTTTCTCAATTGTACAAGACAGCGGAATATGTTGGCGCTTTATAAATGACAGTGATAAATATATTTGTTCAGGACACTCTGGGGGAAACTATCCGACCACTTAAAGTGGGACAGTCAGTGAAGGCCAGGTGCCAGTTCTTGCTCAAGGCTGGGCATGAAGAGATGGATCTTTGGAGCGCTATCATGCTGCGCCGCCCAGAACTTCTATTAACCCAAGTGTTGGTGTTGGTTAATTTCTCTTTACGTAAGCTTTATTTTCATAAATCTTTTTAGCATTTCATAAGCTTAGTATGGTGCACTCATATAATATTCAGACAAGTCTAATGCAATTTTAGTGGTTTAGAAACATATAGACATTTTTTTTTCTGTAAGACCAGAATTGTTTCTCGAGTTATGTTGCATTTATTGTCTTGATTCAACAAATACGCCATCTGATTTGTTTTTTGCTTTTCTGTGTCTTTTTATTGCTTATTAGTCCAACATTTCACTAACATTAAAGTTTACTGCAGTAACACTTATATTAACTATAGCATATACTAGCTAATTGGATACCTCTAACATCTTATACTTTATTATGATTGTTGTATGTTGGAGTGACATTACTTGTCTGTTATTCTTACTATTAAAAAATATTTTCCTCTGTTCCATTTCTTAAAAAAGTGCAGTCACTCACTACTGTGATTATTGTTAATCTGTATACATATATACTATATCTCTGTGTAGGTTACCTATGTGTTAATAACTCATGTCAATTATCTTCATTATGTAGCACTGCACATAAAAAATAAAAATGTACCAAAAAAAAGGAATAGACACACAGGACAGGGAAAAAGGATAAATACATATTACCTGGCATTAAAGGGACACTATAGGCACCAGAACAACTACAGCTTATTGTATTTGTTCTGGTGAGTATTTTCATTCCTGTAGGCTTTTTGTAGTAAACACTGTGTTTTTAGAGAAAAGACAGTATTTACATTACAGCCTAGGGATACCTCCACTGGCCACTCCTCAGATGGCTACTAGAGGTGCTTCCTGGGGCAGTGCTGCACAATGTGAAGCACTGTCATTCAGTGTCTTCCCTCTGCATGGAGACACTGAATTATCTTCATAAAGATGCAGTGATTCAAAGCATCTATATGAGGAGATACTGATTGACGAGGACTATGTTTGGCTGTGCTGGCTCTGCCCCTGATCTGCCTCCTTGACAATCTCAGCCAATCCAATGCTTTCCTATGAGAAAGCATTTTGATTGGCTTTGAACACAACTTCTGATGATGTAAGCCAAGCAGGCAGATTAGAGGCAGAATCAGCAGCAGCAGCAGACTGGAATAAAAGTAATATTTTGCTACATTTAGAGGGACGAGGGGTGGCTAGATGGTGTTTCTAACACTATGGGGTCAGGAAAACATGTTTGTGTTACTGAACCTACAGTTTTCCTTTAATATAAAAAGCACAGAGAAATAGCAAGGTCAATGAACAGTCAACCATGCTTCCAAAACACAGATGGGGAGGGGGCGGGGCCGGGCCGCCGAGCTGAGCGGCAGCCATCCATGCCAGCTCCGGCTCCGGATCGCTTAAATAAAACAAAATAAAACAAAATATAGCACTAAAAGCCCACCTGAAGCCAGGGCAGACATAAGCACCAAGCGGGGAGAGGCACAGGAGCTCAATCTGCCAAGCCGACGCCGAACAACCTGCCCTGCCAGAGCACGAGGAACCCATGAGGCATGCACGCAGAAGCCGCGAGCCCAGACGAGAGAGAGGTGGGGACCGGACCCGGCCCCGCTCCCCCCTCCCCTCGGGCCGGCGGGGGTGATCCCGGCCCATGAGTCCATTTTCTGGAGACTGAAGGCAGAAGACCCACGCATGGCGGAGCCCTTTCTCCAGTGGAGCCAAGATGGCCGCGGAACACGCTCGCTACTGGGAGCCACGCGGGGACGCCTGGACCCTTAGGGGTGGCGGATCCCACAGACAGACTCCACCGGGCAGCAAAACGGTCGGCACAGAGCCGGCCCTAACCCCTGGATTTGTGAGCCCTATGACGTCGGGGCAAGCTGGACCCCCGGCGGACCGGTGGCCGGGGAGACAAGCGCTGGCGACATGCAAGAGGCCGGAGAGGGGTAAGGCCTAACGGGGCTGGAGCTCAACGGGGAACTGCAGGAGTTGGGGAGGTGCAGGGGACGAGGGGCCCGAGGACTTTGCAGGGGCGGGAGTCTGCCGGGCTGCCGACATCCCTGAGTGCCCACAGCATTGTGGAACCCTCGAATGACCGACCGGAGCAGGCCTGGAGGGGAATAGAGGGGATTGGTCACGCCAGGGGAGCTGGGGGGACCCTGCAATGAGCGACCAGCTTGGCAACTATATGCACCCCAGGCATAAGCCCGCGAGAGTACACAGCAGAGGAAAACCCGCACAGATACCCCACAAGAGGCCACTGACCTCACGCTGGACATTCGTTAGCACCGGGCACCGCAATGCCACCTCCAGTGGAGAGACTCCCCTATTATGGTTGCATAGACCCAGCTTAGGATACACCTTGTTACATATATTGCATGACCAGTTACAGTTTATTTCAGATTGCCGCATTATAGGATGATACTACCTCCATTTTGTTTCTCATATACAGAGCATAACCTCCTGTAAGAGAGTTGTAGACCCCAGTACATAGGAGTATCTATACTCTTATAATTTAATGAACAAAAGAATATGCTGTTAATGTTATTTTATATCCCTCATATGTTTAGCACCTGTCTCGTCGTGGGAAGCATGCACTTAATGACATGTTATTCTTATGAAACCACGTGGCTAGTATAAATTAATCTGCATTAGGATAAAACATAGGGGGCAGCCGCAGCTAGGAGGACCTACCCACTATGTTTTTAATACATTACCCCGCTGACGGCGGACGTTAATGCTACACCTGCTTATGATTTCAGGATTTGCATTTGTAACCTGTACCAAGCGAGCATCTACACATAGGCCACATACCGCGCTTAATAATACTGTCATAACTACAAACTGTATAACTGTTTATGGTTGGGTACACAATGGCTGACCGCGGTATACTAACAGGCCCACACTAAACTTAGAAATTTCTACGCCCATTGAGCTAGCGCAATAATCCTGATGCACGGAACCGCGCATGAGTTTCTCCTGACATTTCGCCTGTCTGCCAGCAACACACATATCTACACGCATCACACAATGCGCCCACCTTGTCTGAGGGATCGCGCAAGCTTCAGCGAAGGCGATAAAGGGCTTTTCATGCTAACCTGCTCGATACCTGTACTGTATTTTACACTGCATGAGGTTAACAATAACATCACTAGACAATGTGTATCACAGGTCAGCAGTTTAGATATTACAAGCATGTAACAAACAGATGACTGATATTGTGTGGTACAACTGTAAGAAGCCTCTGCGCAGGCGCAAATGCAACTAAGATCTTATACAACACTAAGCCTCTGCGCAGGCAACATTATATTGTTTTTTGCTTCTCACACTATGCATGCAATTTTACTGCAAAAACAATAAAAAACCATTTAAAACAAAACACAGATGGGCATTAGCAATAATGTGATTATGTTAATGATGTCATAAAAGAGGTGAGACTACATTGTCTATCATCAGAAACATTGGCAAATGTGTCTGAGGGTGTGAAATTGATGCAATGTCTACTTGGGGAGGTAGAAGCACCAGGTGTGTCGTGTAGCCCAAAGCTATATATCCTTAAGGTCCCATGGTAGCTAAGCAATCCTGCATGTTGCAGAACTTTCTACACTTTCCAATATTTTCTCATGAGAACTCAGTGTAGAAATGTGTATCACACTTGAAGAATAATTTTCCAAATTCTTGATTCATCAAAATTTTGGGCAATTGAACGAAAATCCAAATTCAGAGCAGACATATAACCCAATCATAACATAGCCGATTTGGCCAATAGATGAGCCATTTAATTTGTTTCATGATTTTGGGTTAATTATTTATCCGCTGGAAGTACTAGCAGCCAAATAGTTAAAAACTGCCAGTGGGGGTCACTTCGATCCCCACATTTGTATAAGGTAGGTTTTAAACCTCCTCCCAACTCACCATGCCAGAAGTGAGGCAAGTCTGCTAAATAGCAGGCAGCCAGTGAATGCTCACTATCATAAAAGACTAGCGACTGGATAGCTAACAACATACACCCCCAATGCATCAACCTGATGCTTTTGATAGCCACTGTGGAGCTATAAAATAATATGTAAAAATAAAGCACAGAGATCATACTGTCTGTTATATTTCCTGTGTGATTACAATTATAGCATCCAGTGCTGTGTTATTACCTGATGTCAGTAACTGTCTACAAATATCACTGAGACTCTGGAGCATGGTTTTCAGTCAACCTTTTATTCAGCATATCTGCATCACTAACTGATTCCACAGAACAAATTAAAAGTGGTTTCCGGGGTCGGGGTCGGGGCCTGACTGTCGTGGCGACTGGACGTGTTCATTTAGCACTCCTCAAAAATTACTTGATTTTGTCCAGTCGCCTACGATTTAAAGTGGCACTGTCATGCCGAAATTACCTTTCCCCAATTGATTCCTCTTCTCCCTCTCTCTCTGTCAGAATCTGTTCTTAATTTCTTCCTGTCTGCTTTAGTTTTCTTTAAAACATAAGACAAAGTAGGGACTACTTTGTCTTGTGGAGGATTCCTACGCCTGACCAGCTTTGAACAGCGGAGGAACAAAGTGTGCTTTGTTTCCTATGATCAAATTCAGTTCATGGTCCAGAATCACATGGACATCTGGAGAGTGGTCTTCTTTGCTGAGATGGTTGTAGAGTAGTTGGTTAAGGAAAACTGGTCTCTGCAAGAGTAACCAATGGTTGTAGATCACTAATAATAAGACTGTCATCTAACATGCAATGAGTGTGTGAAACACCTGCCAGGATCTCATCCATTATCCTTTGCCACACTGCAGGTGCTGGAGCAATTCCAAACCCCATAGGTGCATACTGAAAAAAGTCCTTTGTGAGTGTTGATAAATAGCATTGATATACCTCCAACTGTAAGTACACCTGATGTAAGTCAGTTTTTGTAAATATATTTCTCCACCCGCAAGGAAACTAAACAATTCTTCAATCTGTAGTAAAGGAAATTAATCTATAATTAATTGAGGTTGAAGTGCCTCTCTGAAATATCCGCAAATGCGAATGTCCACATTCTTTTCTGATAGGAACTACTGGGGAAGCTCATTCACTGCTGGAAGCCAGAGTAATAATACCTTGTTGTTGTAATTGTTCCACTTCTGCTTCCATTTGAAGTTTCAGTGCAAAAGGTACAACTCTTGGTTTACAAAATTATGGAATAGCAATTGCTTTTAAGTGAAATTGAATTTGCTTCCCTTTGACTGAAACCTAGTGTCCCATCAAATATAGTCTTACTTGTTTTGGTTTAGTGGTTCAATCCAAGTAGAATTTAAACTGTTATTGTGGTCTATTAGGTTACTAAGAGGTAACTGTTGTGGTAACGTTGGCATGTAAAATGCGTTGATCCAGGATCTACTAAACAATGGTGGTCCTGGTTTAAGTAAAATGTAGGGTCGTAGTGGTTTAGTTCTAATATTACACGTCACAGTAGGTGATACACATCCAATAGGTTTTATTATCTCCTTTAAATACATTTGCATGGTGACAGCTGTTGGAACCATCTATATAAATCTTTGCTTGCAGTTCTGGAATTGTCTTTTCAATACGTAATTAGTGTAACTGCATGTTTTCACTAGAATCTGTTTTCGGTTTATCCACTTTGACATGAAGAATAAAACATGACTTGTTTTTCTTAGTTTTATTTTTGTTTGTGAAAATTCTGCATACTCTTTTCGTGTGACTAATCTTCCCACAACCGTAGCAGGTGCTATTCTTAAACTGGCAGGTATTTGCTGTGTGGCTTTTGTCACCACATCTGTAGCACGTTGTCTGAGGTACTTGTTGTCCAGTTGAGAACTGCTTATTTAGGTTCATAATGGTACAAAAAATATCCACTTCCTTGTCACAACGCCGCTTGAAGCATTTGTGGATCTTTAGTAGCAAGTTCCATTACTGTACCTATCTATAGCACAAATCACAAACATGTCATGCAAGGCTGTGTTTAAATAGTCTCCAAATCTGCAGGTACTTGCTAGTTTCTTTAAAGTTATACATACGTTTTGATGCACAAATCCGTCTTCTGATCTCTATCTGTCTCTCTTGAATTATATTTTGTTTGCCTTTCTGCTTTTTCTAACTGGATGGCTGCTCATTTTTTTAATTTTAATCTTTCCAAAACAGAACTGCTCATCTTTCCTCCCTACTCCCTTTCGTCTCCCTCCAAGTCAAACTACCATCAGACCTACCTCACATGCCCGCTGCCTCAGTGATCTCATTGATTCAAACCACTCCAAAACCCCTTTACCAAGAAAGGTTAAAGGATCTTAGCATGTATATCTTGGAGGAAAGACGAGACGGGGGGATATGATAGAAACATTTAAATACATAAAGGGAATCAACACAGTAAAGGAGGAGACTATATTTAATAGATGAAAAAATACCACAACAAGAGGACATTGTCTTAAATTAGAGGGACAAAGGTTTAAAAATAATATCAGGAAGTATTACTTTACTGAGAGGGCAGTGGATGCATGGAATAGCCTTCCAGCTGAAGTGGTAGAGGTTAACACAGTAAAGGAGTTTAAGCATGCATGGGATAGGCATACAGTTATCCTAACTATAAGATAAGGCTAGGGACTAATGAAAGTATTTAGAAAATTGGACAGACTAGATGGGCCGAATGGTTCTTATCTGCCGTCACATTCTATGTTTCAATGTTGCATGTCATTTGGCAAAACCTGTGGCTTCCATTTCAAAAACATAGCTCTTATCTGCCCCTAACAACATATGTGACTAAAATGTTAGTCCATGCCGCTGCCTTCACCCAACTTGATAACTGCAATCCATTTTTTACTGTCCTCACACATTTTTAGTTAGCCCCTCTACAGTCTATAATAAATGCTGCAGTAAAGCTCACCTTCCTTTCCTCACACATCTTCAGTGTCTCCTCCCTCTGGCACTCCTTACACAGGCTTCCTCTAAGATATTGAACTCAATGTAAATTCTGATCCTTGTTTAGAAATCTCTACAGAACACTGTTCCTACCTACCTATTTTCACTTATACATAAGTATATCCTCTGTTTGTACTTGCACCTTGGACACTCACCTTCAAGACTTCTTTAGGGCTGTCTTCCTGTCTGTATTATTTTGAGATTTGTTTAACTTTAAACATGTATATTGATTTTTATTTGACCTTTGTTTTGCGATGAAGTAAAGGAGATTAAAGAAGAAAAAAGACATTTGATGTTAAATATAGCTATTAGGTTAATTGTGCCCCATGTCACTATCACTAGAATAAGAGGGTTGGCAGATTTTTTATTGGGGAGGGGGGTGACTAGTGGCTTGGGGACTCGCAATCTTTTTTGGGGTAAACAATGGCATGTCCACCCCCGCAGTAAATTTAATTAGAGACCCCACCCACCATCCATGGGCTGGGGTTGTGGGGGATACTAGTGGATACTAAGTGTTCATTTAACATCGTTTTTTTAAATTATGATTTCATTTTACTTTCCCATATTACTATTTTATAAATACTAGAACCCAACGCATAGAGCCAACATTTTTAATTATATAACATGTTACTTTATTCTTTGTTGTTTGATTATTGTTTATACTATGTGTAACAATACAAATTTTGACTGCATAAAAAGACGCTGTACTGTATCAAGAAACACCGCAGGAATGTTAAGCAAAATGTACCCAAACTATGATATACCTTAAGAGACACCCTGCCTCAATACGGCTTCTGCGCAAGCTCTGGTATACTGTACTGATGGTTTACTTCTATGTCAATACAAAAATAAAGATTTAAAAAAAAAAAAAAAAAAAACTAGAGCCCTCACTCATGGGTGGGGGTTGGGGGGAACATTAGGTCCACCCTAGTAATAAATATTTAGCCCCCATCCACTGCCCATGGTTAAGAGCCAGGGGGACACTAAGTTCATGGGTTCATTTTAATTAAATATTTTATGGATGGATATTTTATGCTATTTCAAGATATTAAAGTGACCTGCACACTGTACTCTCAAAGTGAACTTATAACAATATAAACCATCAAGAAGAAAAAAAAAGAAGATTCCAGAAGTAGTATGTAATGTCTACATTTGTTCTGAAACACTGGAATATAAATCCCAATGTGTTTATTTTTCTCTACAACCCATGCATCAATGAGCTGAAAGATTAAACTGAATTGTGAATGCATGGTCTGTTCACAGCGTGTTGTCAAATATATGGAACATTACAGTCGATATTACAGACAGATGAGCAATCCAGCTCCATTGTAGCATCTTTTATAGCCCTTTATTGCTAATTTATTTACAACATTTATAGAATTGCATATAGCGTTGTAGCCCTCTGGTTTGAATTAACAGCCCTTATCATCACCAAACCATTTTTATGTTAAATATAATTTTATACATTAAATATA